TGTCCCAGTTCACAACTTTCCTTGCCACATTTGTGAATCACTGCAGTTGTTAAGTTAGTAACATGGTTGTTAAGTGAATCTGGCTTCCTTATTGACTTTGCTTGCCAGGGGATCACATGACCTCAGGATACTGCAATTGTCATAAATATGAACCAGTTTTCAAGCATCCAAATATAAATTACCTGACCATGGAGATGTTACAACAGTTCTAAGTGGGCATAACTCATATTTTTCAGTGCTGTTGTAACTTCAAATGGTCACTAAACAAAATGTTGTGAGTCAAAGACTGTGTGTGTTTCATACATAATTATACACACACAATACACAATGTATACACACACACACACACACACACACACACACATATATATACACAACCAATCATTTACATTTATTTATTTCCCTTCTTATTTTATACTGCACTACCAAATATAACAACACATACATAAAAACACACCATCATAAGGAGGAACCTCCTTCCCACAAATGTTTAAGCATTGGAAGTTCTGTTGATGAACTTGCTTTACCTTCCTGAAATCAGAGAGAGGGCATTTGGTCCCTTCACTCTCTCTCTCACCCCAAGTCACTTCACAGGGTTGTGAGGCAAATAGGAGGAAGAGGGAGCATTAGATATGCTTGCCACCTTGAGTTGTTTGTAAAAATAATAAGGCAGGATTGAAATGAAATGAGACAAATTTCTACAAGAAGATGAAGGTTGTTTCACAGCACATCATCAGTCACAAATCCCTTCACGTGCACAGGAGATCTAAGTTCAGCCCACCTTGAATTCTGTTGACTCTGATCTACAATGCCGGAGAGGCTTCCAAACAAGCTTCCATGCTTGACAGATGATGTCGAGCTTGTGGAGTGGGTCTCTACCGCAATCAGCTGGCCGCTGGGAGACTGCAAACCTCCCCTGGCTCTTGCTAGGCTTTGGGGAAGCCAGCTGCCTGCATGGAAAGAAGGCGGAAAATTCTGTTAGGTTACTTGCCTTGATGAGTGATTACAGGCCGAATACATAAGAAGAAAGGAAGAAAGCAAAGGAAATCTTTTTGCAGCCTGTTTGCAGTCAAGAAGCTGAAGGAAAAGTTCAGACTGAAAGCAAAAGTGGCCACAAGCACAAATGTTCCCCAAATGCAGAAGCTGAGTCCTAAAGGCAGCCAGGCAGGCAACAAAAAGATTTCCAAGCTACTTTTGAACTTTGGGGAGGAGAGGTTTTCTGTCGTAACTTTGAGCAACCATTAGATGATCCGTCATATCTTGAGGACTACCTGCAATCTACATGAGAGGTAACAGGTATGAGACTACAGTCCTTGTTTTTACTTTCTGGGTAAGTGCACACATACATTCTCACAGCTTATACTGAATTGTTCCCAAATATCACCACACATAAAGAACAGAATGAGATAATATGTATAATAAGGATGTCTCGGAGATACTGCAGGCTCAGTTCCTGACCAGAGCAATAAAGGGACTATCCCAATAAAGCAAGTTATAAACTTTTTGTGTTTCCCAATGCATATAGAAATAAGTTTATAGTATAGTCCACTGGTGGCTAATCTTTTTGACTGATAATTGCATGTGCGCTTGTGTGCACTCGCTCACATGCCAGCACCCAGGAGGCAATGCACGCAAGTCCCCCCATATCCCCTGCGCATGCACGCACGCCCCTCTGTGCATGCGCATGCATCTCCCACACACCCCTGCACTTGCGCGCCAGATACCCGACAATTAGCTGTCAGGAGGACAGCATGCACATATGCGTAATAGACCTGCTCTGCGTGAGGGCTCACGTGCCAGCAGTAATGGCTCTACATGCCACTTTCAGCATGCGTGCCATAGGTTCACCATCCCGGCTATAGTTTATTAAGTGTGCAATAGCATTGTCTAAAAAAAAACCAATGTATATACCTTGATTTTTAAAAAATACTTAATTACTAAAAAAATGCTAATCATCAGAGCCTTCAATGAATTATAATCTTTTTGTTGGTGTAGGGTAAAAGAAATGAAATATCTGAGAAGCGCATTAAAACAAAAGTGCCATAAAACAAGGTGATGTCTATTATTCTAATCTTCTATCGTGGTTTTATTCATTAAATTCACACATTTTACTGGGCACATTATTCCATTGCCAAATAACATAAGGCAATGAAAATGAAAAGGGGAGGTTTTAATCAAGGGAATGGAAGTAGCAGGAACATTTGGCAGAAAATGATTGTGTAGGAACGTTTTTATGGGAAAGATGAACCTGAAATTTTTCTTTAAATAATGACAACAGAGCTATGATGTTCATAACTTTGGCTTTATCATTGGAAAGTATTTAACTTCATTTCTTTATTTACTCCAACTGTACAAATCCCAAACCATTATGGCTGCAATTGAAAAAATATGATATCTTGGCACTGAGATTCAGTTATTTATTTATTTAAAAGACTTGTGACTTGTATTCTACCCAGACTATAACTGAGTAATTTAGTCAATACCATATTTGCAGTATTAAAGACTACAAGTCATTTTTAAAAAAATTCAAAATAGAAATGTAACATTGACTTTTATTCATATCATAAACATGTTTTGTAATAATCATAATCTAGAAATTGCAAATAAAATTGTTTTTTCAATTCATAGACTAATAGGAGTATTAGTACTGCTGTTATGCTAATTTCCAATCAAGTTTTTTAGACATTTAAATTATTGCAAGAGGAATCAGGATATATAAGATTAAGGGGGTCATAATATATCCAGTCAAAACAACTTTTTATTTCAGAGGTTAATTCAATTGCATTATCACGATCTAAAACTCCTGACTACTATATGCATTGAAATGTGTTCAGGTTTATTCTAAATTAAAAAGTATTGTTAAAATGGATATGGTATTTGCAAGAATTTTGGAATACAAAATTGGAGTTCCTCATAATAACAAACAGGCTAAAGTCTTGACTAATGTATATTTCCTGTTATCTTAAGATGACATTAAATCAAAAAATATTTTCTCATATTTATTGGACCATTCAGAAGATGTTTTAAAAGGACTCACTTATACTAGAAGTAGAAATGGGGGGGATTCTTATACATAGGACTTGTCACACTATTGTCCCGTTTTGGTTTCATAGCCATAGGTTCCTTAATATGCAAAGAGTAAAATATTTTAAAATGTGAATGTGATAGACAACTATGGATCTATCAAGCATGAGGTATAGAGAAAATAATAATAACAGAACAGAATAACAAAATGTTCACTTGATAATAATAGAATAACAGAATTGGGTGGTACCTTGGAGGTCTTCTAGTCCAACCCCCTGGCCAAGCAGGAGACCCTATATCATTTAAAGACATTTCAGATTTTATTGTTTTATAATGGAAGGATATTGCTGTAATCTTGGATTGAAATGTATTCATGTTGTGCTTGCAAACTGGCTTTTTATGGATGTAATGGAAAGACTGATCAATACTACTAAGTTTGCCCAAGGTTTAATGTGGTGATTAATCACCTAGAAGCTGGTCTCTGTGTGTGTGTGTGTGCGCGCGTGCGTGCACGTGCGCGCACATGCGAGCACACACACACACACACACACACACATCTATCCATCCATCCATCCATCCATCTGCAGGATAAGTTTCCCCAAACTGAGCACAGCAGGATCACATTTGGTGTGGTGTGAAAGCCAGCAAAAGAAATAGCAAGGTCAAAATTGACCCCGGATCTGGCTGAAGGTGCAGAGGAAAAGGTTCCTGGAGGAAAATGTACCTCTCTACATCCCTAAGGGAGAAGCAGTTTGGGACTAGCTTGGTATGGTGTTTTTTTTAAGATTTGTTTTAATCCTGCTTTTATTATTTTTAGAAATTACTCAATGCAGCAATCATACCTAACACTCCTCACAGTCTCCTGGTTTCTAGCCTGGTGCCTTAACCACTAGAGCAGACTGGTTCAGTTTGTTATATTGCTAACACAGGGTTGTCACACCCCATTTCATTGAGGGCTGCATGAGGGTTGTGTTTCATCTTAGCGGGCTGTGGGGTGGGATGGCCAGTTCATTGAAGCTCTGTTTTCAGCCATGACGGCCTCCTGCAGCCCTCTGCCAGTGAAAACGGAGCCTGGGAGGGCCGCACGCTACCCTACCAAGCTCCGTTTTCACAGGCAGAGGACTGCAGGAGGCCGTCATGGCTGAAAACAGCTCGAGTGGGCCTCATGCAGCCTCCCCAAGCTTCATTTTTGCTGGCAGAAGGTTGCAGGAGGCCATCACGGCCTAAAATGGAGCCCAGGAGGACTGCATGTTGCACTCCCGAGCTCCGTTTTCGCTGGTAGAGGCACCGTGGGCCAGTCCTTCGCTGTTTCCAGGGCAGGCCCATGGACCAAGTCTACGTACCCTGAGGGCCGCATCTGGCCTGCAGGCCTTGAGTTTGAGTTTTGTGCTAACGGCTCAGTCCTAACCCCCTCCTGATTTTCCTCCATAGTTAATATGATGCACAGTGAAGTGGCAACACATTTCCACCATGATTGAATATGCATTAAAGGCAACCCATACGCAGAGAAGGGCAGCATATACGTTTAATAAGTAAATCTTCCTCTTTCCTTCCTTCTCTCACACACATTCACACACAGAGAAGCAATGCATTGCTTTGTTACATAGAGAAGCTGGTGCTGGATACCAGTTCCTCTGACTTAACAAAAAAAAAGGGGGGGGGGAACCATTTAATGGAAGTCATGGGGATCAATGGTTATTAGCTTTATAATACCGTCTGATGGAGAACGAGGGGCATTTATTGTGCAATTGGTTGCCCCCCACTGGACTAGATAGGCCAAGGCTCCAAGGCAATGCTTATGTTCTTGTGTTTGAAAAAATACAGATGCCTCCAATGTCCACTGTGATAAAAAAAAAAATGGAAAGAGTTCTAGAAGCTTATTCTGCATGTTTCTCTATTTTGTTATTCTTTCCAAGTCCTTGGAATGTTGGAGAGAAATTACATTTGTTTATTATCTCTGTCTTTTTGTCTATCAGCAGGATAACTTTCCGAAAACCACAGAGTGAGAGGAATTAGATATGGCAGAAGAAGACAACAAAAGAAATGTGTAATCTGAAAATAAGCTAGATCAAGCCATTGACTGCAGAGGCGGGGGGAAAAAAATCCAGAATGCATTTCTATGGAAGAACATCTATGAAGAATATCAATGGTTGTCCCAAAGGTGCTTTTCCAAAAAGCAACTGGACTTTTTTGGGGGGGAGGGGTGTGTTGAAAACCCCCTTGAAAACATTTAGCTTCTCATGTTGGAAATGTCATCAGATACCTGGATCATATTACCATATGTGGTGGACATGCACAGAATCTAGAAGATACTGGACTAAAATACACACATGGTTGGAAAAAAATGATAAAACAACATATAGATTTAAAACCAGGGATATTTTTATTGGGGATTTTGCCTGAAGGTTATAATAAAGAGATTACAAATTTAATTATCAATGTATTAACAGCAGCTAGAATTGCATTTGCACAAAATTGGAAAAATGAGAAAATTCCGACAGAGGAGAAAACGATTAAGAAAATAATGGAATGTGCGGAAATGAGTAGATTAACAATGGCAATTACGGAACAGGAAGAAAAAGTACTATAAGATTTGGGATTTATTCTATGAATGGTTAGATAGAAGAGTTAAAAATTGAATATGGGTTAATAGTAATAAAATACTATAACTGATCATCTTATGAGTAAGAATATGAATATTATTTAGTAAGGATGAGATTTGTTTTTGGAAAGATGATATAGAATTGAAATTATATGGTTAATGATAATACAATTATGGAATAATATGATGTAGATTGCTAACTAGAATGGTTTATGAATATAATCAAATAAGAAATGTATAATAACATTACTATGCGCACAAAATATATGTACCCAGCCGACACACTGTAAAATTGAAAGATGCTTAAAAAAAAAAAGTTTCGCTTCTTATCCAGGAAGCTTTTTTAGTTCATTCTTCAGAACCAAAGAAGCTTCTGGAATGAGAAGCGAAACAGTTTCAAGAGGGAAAAACCCAAGTCCAGTTACCTTTTAGAAAAGCACTTTTGGGACATTTCTATGGGAGACAGTTGAGCAGCAGCTTGGAATGTTGCTGTTCCATTCTAAACTCTCTGGTCATCCGATTCTAAGTAATGCATACACCTCTTTGGCATTTGTAATGCATCCATACATAAACACCTATGCAACACAAGGCAAATATACACACTAATACAGTATATGCCATAATTAATTCATTGCACAAAATTTAAAAACAAAAAGATACTTTCTATGGTAACTGCTGGTAAAGGTGATTGTACATTTCAACTACATTATTTTCTGTTTGTTTTGGTTCTACATGTTTTCCCTTTGTATCTATATATTAAAGCATTTTTTCTTAAATCATGTAATGGTGTAATTTTTTATTTAAGGGGCTAATTAAAAATGAAACAAGCGGAAAGAATCTCTAAGCTGCTCAATGAAGAGAGCAGAATGCTAGCAGCAATGATAAAAAGGAAGGATTACTGAATTCTTGTTTTTACTTTGCTCCAACAAAAAGGTACATTTCACCTAAACAACTGTTGGGTATATGGATACACCAACCAGGTTTGGGTTGAATAAATATGTAAACCTAGGATTAAGTGTCTATGTAGCTTTAAGCAAGAAACTGCAATGTCATTGTGGGTGCGGTTGCAGGCAGTAATATAGGTAGGAAGGGAAACGTAATAGACCCTGGCTTCTGGATGCACCTGGTTCTGTTCCTGGTCTGCTGCCTGCTGGAACGTTTATCTGCTTACTTTTGGAGGCTACTGTGCCAGATACCATTTCACCTGAACACAAGGACTGTTTGCTTGGTGAGCTGAGGATTCAGCGTTATCTTGAGAGAAAGGTATCAGAAGGAGAAGATTTACAAGCAGATAAGGACATTGTATTTACTGTTAATGGACTTGATAACTGGATGGATATACTGGATAATGATATATGGACTGAATGACACTTCTTAATCTCTGTGTGTATTAAATAACTATTTTAAAACCACAAACAGTGTTTTTGTCTCCAGTGTGTGTATACTCTTGGGCCCACACTCTCTCTCATTTGCCTGCCTGGATTGACTGCTGCTGCATACTCTGCTTGGGGGTTTATCCCCAAACACTAACAACAACCATGAAGGCAAGATGAACCAGTTCTGAAGCTGGAGGTTAACAGAATCATGCTCAGGTCTTATCTGAGTTAATTTAAGTTTCTCTAGAGCTAGATAAAGAAGGAGCATTTTCATGATCCCAACAACCCTCTGTGTATTATATTTGAAAAATGCAGGGGAACTGGTAATGCCAGGTGATTGGAAGAAGAAAACTTTGTATCTTCAAAAGCGGGGAGAAATGAAAATTTGAAGAAAAACAATACTCTTCATCTGATATCAATACCTGAGAAGATTGTAAAGTTAGATCATAAAAATATTGCTGTATAAGCAGCCTGTTAACTGTCAGTAATTAGCATGGATTTATCAAGAATAGGTCTTGACAAACTAGCCTGATTTCAGCATTTTTGAATAGGTAACTTATAGAGGAATGTTGTCTACATGAAATAAATCTGATGTCATCAAAGTGTCAGATAACTCATAGTATCCTGATAGTCAAGGTCATTAGGTGATATTTAGAAGTATTTAAAATGTTCATCAATATTGCTCATCGAACTGGAGTGAGGTATTAAGTGGGGTGCAGCAACTGGCACCCTAATTAATATTTGTCACCATTTTTATTAGAATGAGGTAGAAGGAATGCTTATCAAACATAGAGGGAATAACTAATAAGATAAGATAATAAGATAAAAAATAACATTCAAATGGATCTTGACAGCTTAGAGCAGAGGTCTCCAAACTTGGCAACTTTAAGACTTCTGAACTTCAATTCCCAGAGCATGGCTGGCTGGAGAATTCTGGGAGTTGAAGTCCACAAGTTTTAAAGTTGCCAAGTTTGGGGACCCCTGGCTTAGAGAAAAGGCAGAAAGTTACAGATGGCAACTTAACAGAGACAAGTGCAAAGTTCTTCACTAAAGAAAGAGAATTCATTGGGGAGGTATGTGATGGGATGTATGATTTGGTAGAAGTAGTTGTAAAAAGGATTTTGGATTAGTAACTAACCGCAGGCCGAATGTAGCTCAGCATTGTGAGATAACTGCAGAATGGAGAAATGCAATTTTAGCCTGATTCAACAGATTCAATGCAGTTTCCAAATCATGGGAAGCAATATCCCACCCAAGTTCAGCATTGTGGCAGTTCATGGCACTGTAGTTTAAGGATATAGCCAAAGTGGAATAACTTCAGAAAAGGGCAATAAAGATGATTAGAAGAGTAAGTAGTGAAGAAATTTACTCCTTAAATAATTTACTAGGGAGATTAGAAATTAAGATCTGTGAAGAAAGATTTTAAGACTCAAAGATTCCTATGAAGAAGGAGCTGAATATATTTAACATTGAGAAGTGCAGTTAGAGACAATGTAGAAAAAGCATTTTTGAAATACTTGAAAGGGTATCATGCAGAAGGAAGTCAACACCTGTAATCCATTGTTTCATAAAGAAGAAGAACATGCAATTTGTTGTAAGAAAGCCAATTCCAGTTGAATGTCAGAAAATAATGACCTAATAATAAAACCATTTGAATTGCCAGTTACCCAGAAAAACAATGGGTTCGTCTTCACTAGATGTGTTCAAGTGGAAGCTAGACAGTTATTTGTTGAGAGTGTTTTAATTTGAATTTCTACTCTGAAGAGGAATAACTGGCTCCTTCCAACTGTATAACTGTATTTTGCTATGAGGCCATGCAGGCAGAAAAATTCAGTTCTGTAAGTTTTGCCCAAAATATGTGTACAACTGCAGTATAAGACTATTTACCCTTCATTCTGTTGAGCACAATGGGGATTATTTCTGGGTAAACATTAAAAACTATTAATTATTGTAATAACATTCTATATGCCAAAAAAAGAATATGCTTGCTCTGAGGATCTTACAGGATTTTAGCCCTGGGGAAGATCACAAAGAGCAAAGGAAAAAGAGGAAAATATTAGAGGCAAAGACTTATTAGCCATACTCACAATTGAATATTGCATTGTAACCATGGGGATTAGGGACAGTTTAAAAATCTTTTAAAGAAAAATAAACACTGGCATGCCTGGTATGGAACAGTTGGTTGATCATCCTCAGTGACTTTACTTTCCACAAGTGTTAGCGGTCAACAGTTCCTGACATATCCCTAACCTTACTTACAGTTTCTCCTAAATCTGCAGTATGTAACTTGGCTATTACTAGTGGTCCTAACCCTAAATGTTTTCCAGAATCATGGAGCTTTGTCTGCTGCCTCCAAAACTGAACCACTGGATATTTTGAGGTGACTTTCTTTCCTTCTGCCCATAGCAATGTACAAAACTGTTCTAGAAATGATGTTAGATTGAAGGAGAAAAAGAAGTTCTTCCAATATCTCAAGCTATTTGATTGCATTTGTTATGAAGGAAGTGCAAGGCTGTTGTCAGCCAGATTCACAGCACGTGGACAATAGAGAACAGCTTGTACCTCAGACACATGAATACAATTCTAAACAGCAATCAAAATAAATCCAAAAGTAGGAAAGGCGGAGGAAGTTATGCTTGTTACAAAAGGAACAATTTATTTGGGAAAACAACAACTGCTTTCAAATTGCGGAGAATTAGGCCTATATTGCTGTTCTCTTGTTTCTTTGAATTAAAACTTTTAAATGGAAGAATGAATTTTTATTATTGGAAATTAGTTTTCTTCAGCTTGATGCTCTTTTGATTTCCAGTTAAGTAGGCCAATGGCCACTCTAGTTGAAATTATGAAATGTTCAATCTATTAACATATATAGAATATCACCTTCCCAAGGCTGGTAAAAAGTTGATTTTGTAGACGTTCATAAGAGCTAGAATTATCTGAATTCAGTCTGAAACACTACCTCAGTCTGAGTTCTGTAATAACCAAAAACAAGCAACCTACTGCCATGAGAACCAGTGACTCTTCACACACCTCCTTTGATGCTTATGATAATTGTCCCTAGTTGATCATTTCTAAAAGGCTTTTTAAAAGAGTCTTTTAATAAAATGTGAAATGTGAAATAGGAAGCTGTAGCAAAGTCTTTTCCATGAAAACCTAAATGATTTCCTAACACACCTAAAGAGCACACACCCCAAAATCAAGTTCACCATGGAAACAGAAACAAACAAACAACTACCATTCCTAGATGTACTAATCTACAAAAAAACAGATGGCACACTAGGACACACCGTATACCAGAAGAAAACACACACTAACCGCTACCTCAACGCCCAATCCCACCACCACCCTGCACAGATAAACTCCATGGCTAAAACACTAATTACTAGAACCAAACGCCTGGCATACAAGACACACATTAAGACTGAACTATGCACCCTGACTAAAGTACTGACAGCCAACGGCTTCCACAAAAGCAAAATCACTGGCTTGATCCACAAAAACACACTGAGACATAGTAGAGACCCAGAAGATGAACAGACCTATGGAACAGCTGTCCTGACCTACATAAGAGGTACTACAGACAAAATTAGTAAGATACTGCACAGACATCACATCAAGACTGCCTTCAAAACAGACAGAAAAATAGCAGCCATCCTTAGAAACCCCAAAGATAAAATTGACCTGGAAAACCAAGGCATATACGAAGTCCCCTGTGCGTCATGCCCGGCCACATACATTGGACAGACCAATAGAAGAATAAGTACTCACCTGGATGAACACAAAAATGCAGTCAAAAAGCTGGAACACACTTCCTCACTAGCCCAACACATGGAAGCCACAGGTCATAGCATCAACTTCAATGGCACCAAAACCCTAGCCACTATAGAAAACCCCAGCCACAGAATCATCAGAGAAGCCATAGAGATTGAAAAAAGACCAGAAAGCATGAATAGAAGAGATGATTCCACCAGACTGTCAATCATTTGGAAGCCTACACTCACAAACAAAAAAATCTCCACACCACAAGCCAGGCAAACACCTGTGCACAGACAGATCCCCCCTGATACCTCCAGCTCAAACACACCCCAACCAGGCACCCAGATGAAACCTAGCTTCCTAACTAATGATAGATGTCCATTTACCTGGAGCCAAGCTGCACTAAAGGCCTCCAATAAAGTAACACAATGTTGCCAGCCAATCAAGATACAAAAAGAGCCAAAAAACAGACAGAAGATATTAGAAACACCAATCAAGCAGAACACAGCAAACTCCAAGACCAATAAACACAGGCCAAGACTCCCAACCAATCAGGGTGAAGAAAAAACCATTCTGGCACAGCAATAGGCTGCCCCAAATTTAAATCTGAAACCACTGTAAAAGCCTGACTCACAGATGAACACTATA